AATAAATTTTTTTTTTTTTTTTTCCCTCCATGTTGATTGCTCTCTATAATCAAACCAATAATATATATATTTTGTTATTTATGTGCCTGTATTGGAATTCCAGATAGATGTGGAGCTGGCAGCTGTTAATACTGTTGGACTAAAAAGAACATAATATAAACACTGTTAAGTAATATAAATACTGGTAAACAGACAAGATGTACTCACAGTACACCTTGTTTATTATTATACAGTGCTATATTCCTATGTCAAAGAATTCATTTGAATAACATTTTCATTATCAGTTGTATTATTATTATTATCAGGTTTACAATGCAACCCAACTGATAAAACAAATTTCACTGGTAAGTGAATTTGTTGTGGAGTTTTGCAGGTTATTTTGCTTTAAAGTGAAAGAAATATGAAGGGTTGCATTTTGCATTAAAGTAAGAGAATTTTGTATAAACAAAATTGATGTAACATTAAAGCATGTGAATTGCCACAGTTATGTTTTGTTTCGCTCTTGGCATGCACAGACCTTGAGACGGATTGGTGAAGGAAGCCATATTTCAGTCTCCCAATCAACCAAAGATTTCAAACTATACAAAATACAGTACGAAAACAGATACAAAATATTAACTAACATTTAAAAAAAAAAAAAAAATTTTTTTATATATTGAACATTTTTATGAGCAAGTCCAGATAAGAATTTGTAGATGCGACACATTTTTTGGGAAGGGGAATATCTGTGTAATCGATTTAAGCACAAATGTGCAATATCAGATAAACACAACAGAAATTTGTTTCTGGTAGCGGAACCAAATTATTTAACAAACACCTGAGAAGTTGGGGCTGTTTTACACCTTGAGAATGACAGGCATTCCAATTCTGCATGACTCTGCAGAGCTCCATGTGGGCCTACCAAGGTGTGACGACTGTACCAAATCACATAATGACATCACAGAATAGTTGCTAAGCACGAATGTTTTTACTCTCCTCTGGAGAAATTCTGGAAGTGCTAACGGTTCCCTCTTACTGTGTGTGTGTGTGTATACGCCCACATGCTATGCTGCAACAGCAGATGTCCAACAAATCACTTCTGATTGCACAGAAGTCCAGCGAGCGAGCGAAAGGGAGAGAGTGAGAGAGAACATGGTCTGGTCTGGGGGTGGTTTGATGTTGGATCGATACTGTAAGTAAATAAAAGGCTGCTAAGCTTGCGAGTGTTTAAGTTTAAAAGTGGAAACGCGGCACTGTCAGAACAGTGGAAGACCCAAACGTGCCAACTATACAGCATCCAGTGAACTGAACTCAGAAATCCCTCCATCGAATCAAAGACAAGCACTAACCAAAGCTATTCAAGCACAACATTCGGCTTCTGACACACATGACTTCATCATGCTATTGATCGCCATCTCTATTTAAAATGTCTGATTCCTAATGTTTACATTGCTTCGATGCAAAGCGTCGAGTCTGTAAAAGAGGTTGTGATGTTGTGGTTATTATCTATCTTCTTGGCAAGTCTTTGCAGAAGCCCCTCACTAGGCAGGGGAGTATGGGTAATTCTCTCTGAATAGGGTCGAGCGCTCAAGTTCACAAGGGTAAAATAAGACAATTGGATACAGTTTGAATAGTGGAAGAATTTAATGAACATCCCCAATGGGACTCTATACTCTTTCTCTCTCTCTGCCGCTCAGCACTGGTACCAAGGCCTGCTACAGCAGGGAAGAGAGAAATGATTTCAAAAGCCAGGAGAAATCCGAGGGGATCCACCAGTAGCCTGCCTGACAAAGCCTCCGGCGAGAGAGAGAGAGAGAGAGAGAGAGAGACA